GTGAGCAGAAGAGACATGCTGGTTTGTTCAGGCACTCTCATTGTTTAAGCCCAAACTAAAAGAAACCTAAGGGAACAAGCCTTTGGAGTTCACAGAAAGGGTGCCAAGCGTAGCCGCTTGCTCCTGAAAAGCAGAGGACTCCCAGATGGCAGGGGGTGGGCTGCCTCTGCTGCAAACAGGGCACACATGCTGTGTGACAGGAAAGTCTGTGTCTCCTTACAGCTCCCAGCTGTCCACTCTTACAAGCTGAAGACAGCTCCTGCCATTTCAAGGCACTATTTATAAGTACTCCTGCAAAGTACTGGAAAGAGCAGATACGTCATAGCCTGGAACTGGGCACTGGCTGCGCACCAGGAGCTCAAACCAGCACAACTTTCTTCTGGGAGACTTTCATTCCATGCTACTGAGGTGACACTGCCACTAGTAGCTGCTGTTTAGCCCACAACTTCCTCGGATGTGGTCCACCTTGCAGAGACAGGCATTGGAGGTCTCCATGTTGCAGAGAAATCCAGGCCTGGCACAGTAAGTTTTGCTGTTAGTCTTCAGAGATTTTCTTGTTTATTTGTTTTTGTTTAAGTGTTCCAACAAAAAGAATTTAGTTTGTGAAGTGCAAAACAAGAGCCAAGGCCTGCATTTTCCCACTGCAAGATAAGCAAGAAACTTACATGGTCTCATACAAGAATAGCCACCACAAATACCATGTAACTGTTGACATGAGAGCTTCTTTCTCCAGTAACTGCATTTCCCAGAGTTTCCTGTGATTTCTTGGCCAAAAATACTTTTTTATTCAGTGAAAGCAAATTAATTCTCTAGAGACACTCCGTAGAACTCCAGTGAATAATAATCTTTAAATTATTTACTTACAGTCCTAGCATACTTTCAGCATAAAAGACAGGAAGTTAACAACTGAAAAGTGCCTTTTCTCTATAACTAATCTTCTGGTCTCCCACCTCACATGGAAAATGACACGTTGCCCACAACTAAGGAACTTTAAACTAAGCATTATAGAAACCATTAACTGTTTATAAAAAATACTAAACAAATATTTCAATTCATAATTACTTGGACAAATATCACATCAGACTAAGATTTCTGAGGAAAGAATTGATGTAACGTCATTAAAAAATGAGAAATGACTGGTAGAAAAGTAATGCTGTATGATTTGAGGCACTTGAGCCTTTTGCTGAAGAGAAAACGGAAATGAATCTTGGGTGGATCGGTAATATTTCAATTTTGAACTTAATATTACCATGTTCATTCCTTCCTATATTTGCTGTACAGAAGCACACATTCGGCTTATTTAGAGTGTGTCAGCTATCACCACCATAATTATATAGAACAGTGAACACATACACACGGAACACAGAAATTAACTTTTCTAGAATGCTAGCCCCGACCCTGACAAAAACTCCCTACCCAAGTCTTTTTTTCATTCAGCGGAGACTCACTCAATTAAATGTTATCAGTCTAGTAAACCTCATCTTTTGTTCAAGTTTAAAATATCAGGTAATACTCCAGTCTTGTACAAGCTCATAGGGAAAAGTTTATTAAATCAATACTTTTTAAAGACTGAAAAAGAAAAAAAAATCTTTTTTTTTGGAAAGGGGGTGTCACTATTAAGCACATACATATTTACAAAATACATGCACCTTGTACTCTGTGAATATAATCACAGAATTTAGCCCAACACGGAGTCCACTGACTGAGAATCCGTACAAAAATAACATTAAAGCTGGTTTTAAGCAACTCTGCAGACCACAGAAGTCCAAAGCATAATAAGAGAGCCTTGAAGACATACATTACTCAAATGCAGCTGAAAGTACACTCCCTCAACAGGCAGTGCTTCGGAAGATGTACAGACACATGCTGCCTTAGCCAGTCTTGGGTAATGGGGCATTTGTAGAGCCATGGCATCAGGTTATTCAATACTACTGCCCAAGGAAGGTTTTTCCATCTCAGCTTTTATGTCAGTAATGGAAATCAGAGTGGCAGCAGCATCCTTACACTGGAGAGTGCACTTCTGGGAGTCACAAGATTTGGAGGAACTTCCCTTCATCCTCAGTGCACCAGCCTTTGGCAGAACCTGAAGAAAGCAACAGCCAGGCCACACACATCTGTCACTCACACACCCTGATCATTGGTGCAGCACCTGTGGAAGGATCTTAGAAACCTTAGCTAAGTTTTCAGTGCAGCACTACTGGCTCCGAGGGAAATCTCAGAGCTTTAACCAGGATACACGATTCCAAATGGACATCCAAATGGATGTCCCACCATCAACACGAACATTCGGCTACTTAACACCTTATAAACCTGTCTGTGTTTAGCAACTGAGCTTTTTGATATCTGATAATTTCATCAAGCTACCTTCTGAGCCCGGAAGCAAAGGTAATGGGGAATCAGCATTAGTTTCTCTGAGGGAAGGCAAGAGAAGAACAAGATATATTCTTGTACATTTGTTATGCATATTTTTGGGAGTTATACAACCTTAGTTTTCCAAAGCAATTTTCTGAACTTTCACTGACAAACAAATCTGATCTGAAAAATCTTACATCAGCAGGGTTGGTTTGCAGATGTTATTTGCACCATTTATTTATCAAAAATAACTAGAAAATGTTTTTAAAACATCATTCCAGACTGTACAAATAGGAATGTGACATGGGCTGTCTGTTTTACTTTACTGTTCTCCTGCTTCGTATTCTGAGCAACCAGAGAGGCTATTTTCCCCAGGGGTTCAGGAGGGCATACTATTTCATTTCTTCAGAAAATTGTTTCTCTGGATTTCAATCTTTTTAGCTAGATATGACAAAATATAATATCAAGAACACTTATGCTTTTTTATCAGCTCTATTTTCAAAGCATAAATAATAGATCAGTATATATTTAAGTCAGGTGACCAACTCTTATTTCTGAAATCAAATAAGCATTCTGCGATTTTTAAATGATGCTGTACATTTTCACTACAGTATCATTATGCCTTTAAAATGCTTTCAAAAGACTAATTTATAAGCATGGAGTGATTTTGAAGATATTTCACTAGCGTTAATAATACCTCACTCAGGTGGCACTCAATTTTCTGAATCCTTGGGTTAATGAGGCAAATAAATCAAAATTAAATTGGCCTTGGGAAAAAAAATTCAAACAAAATTGCATCTATTACATTATACATCCGGAGGCTCCTTCTGTACTGTTCACAATGGCTAACAATATTCCAGCTCTGAGAATCATTACACTTAGTCATAACACAATCTGAGATTTTAAAATCAAATAGATCAGACTTCATGACTAGGCTAATGTAACGCCTTATAATAATATATCAGGAGTATTCACAACGAGTTGTATGCCGTTTTAGTCAAGTACTTTCCATTAAGTGTCCATAAATTTCAGCTGCTCACCATTTGTTCAATAATCCAACAAACTCCTTCCAGGAGGTTTTCATCATTGCAAACTGGTAAGTTTTAAGATAAACTCTAAAAAGACAATACTTTCTGCAACTAGGTTGTCATTCACCATTTGAAAAAAAAGCCCCAAAACCATATAGATGTAGGTAAATAGCTGAAACAAATAAAAACCCTAGCATTTCTAAAAAATAAGTACTTCTAGTCATATTGCTGTAGTAGTATTCCTTATCTAAAATATAAGAGAAAGGAAATATTTTATAGATATTATAAAAAGGATTCTACTGTTGGGGAATGCCAGTGTTGTCAGCTCTTTTAAAAAATGGCAAATAATATACAATACAGAGAACTAAAGAGGCCTAAGTTGTTACCAGAAGTAATAAATTTAGCATGAGCAAACAACAATCAACAAATGCTGACATGCAATGAGCAGTTGCCATTGTTCTCCTGTTGTTATTTGTAGTCAAGTAATAAATGCACTTCTCTGCCCACAGTCACAAGGGCAGCCTTTCAGTCTAAGGAATTTCCTACAAACATGGAGTTCCAGTTGCAAAACAAACTTCCCCACTGAGCTGTTGTAACCACCATCATCTGCTAACTCAGCAGCACAGACTCAAGATTTCCATGTACACACTATTTATATTTTTTGATGGAAAACACTGTACAAAAGTAGGTTGAGTATTTTTTCCAAATAAGTTACTACTATTAACACTTAGAATTTATAAAAGCATGCAAAAAAAAAAAAAAAGGCCTAAGGTTTGGGTTTTTTTTATTTTAAAGGAGTTAAGGGCCCAAGTGCCCTTACGTGGTAAAGGTCAAAAGAAACAAGAAACAGCACAGAAACATGTTTGCACCTTTTCCCCAGCTAGCACATTCTTCTCGGCTTTGTAAAACAATTTCTGTGGTCAAGTGCTTGATTAGGAGTAATTTATATGGTGGTTTAATGTATTTCTTTTGATTTTCCTCCCCAAGAACAAACACCACCATGATAGTTAAGAATTTTCTCTTGCTAGAAAATACCGAGAAAATTTGTTAGAGACACCCTTCCATGAGAGTTGCATTAGGAAAGTTTTTAGGTTTATTATCAATCTATAACTAGTGCACATGTACAGCAAGTGAGCAATTGCCACAGGCAAGAGTTCAAAAGGGAAAGCTACCCTAGTGAAAGCACTCACTCCTCTGCTCATGGTAGACTTGAAAGAGAATAGCTCTATTCAGTCCCCATTCCACATTGGCCACTGGGATCAGCTGTCTCCTGGGCCTGGATCCTAGAACAGCCAGATGGTACTGGGGACTAGGGGTTTAGATTTTTGACAGCCTAAAGAAAGCCATTCCAAAAGGTGTTGATTTCACTTCGGTATAGAACAAAGGGTTTTCCCAGCTCCTCAATTAAAGTTCAGTGCCTAAGTCCAGCACACCAACACTGCTTAGTGCTTGGCTGCTGAAGAAGCAGATATTTTCCAACAAGAAAGTCTACTTCAAATTATTCCTTCAAATTTGGGTTGTGACAGACAGCATTGACAGAAAGTCACCACTCAATGGTTACTCAATTGCTTGCTCAGAATGATACAGTAATTTTATTCTGATTTTTCAGTCCACAGAACAGAGGAACCACAGAACCACAACTGCTATCAGTCCTCTCAAGGCTTTATGCTCCTTGGCAAGGAGTACTGATTTGTGGTTTTATACTGCTACCAGGTAGTGGTTGTGCACTATCATTATCCAAATAATTTATAACTACAGGTGAGAAAGAACATTTGGAAATAAACCAAGAGTATCTTGATCTGCTCAGGAAAAAGACAAAACATTTAAAAACAGCATTTTAAATCAGTATGTGGTACAGGTCTGATATGCTCTTGTGTTCTAAAAGGCATTTAAAAGCATGTAAGCTTGCATTATTACCATGCACATAACCCACTATTGAGTATTATCATGGGAGCAACATGAACACAGTGACATGTCAACAGCTTGCAGGGTCAGACTTTAGCCATAAATTAGAACGTGAAACTTAGATTACATTAGAACACAACAAAAATGGTTAAAAATACTCTTCCAGAAAAAAAAATAGTATAAAAGCCAGTGGCACAAGATTCATTTCTACCAGGGAACCAATGTTAATTTAAAAGCCAAGATTCATTTGAAAACATTCACCTGTAAATCAAAAAGTCCCCAAAGATTAATTTCTGCATTTACACTATTTGCAAAATATATTTAACTTAAAGGCATCCCTTTTTTCCTGAAATAATTGCTTACAAGATGAGAACTAAAACACAATCTGAAGTGTAGTAAAGGTAATTGCTGCACTTACTGCTTGTGTCATGTTGATGTATTACTACGTATCAAAGGTCACAGTTCTGTACTCATACATTATCAAATTTGAAAGAGCAATATTCGAATCCGACCAACCTTTAAACTGCCCAGAATGTGTGTGAAAATGGATGCAGGCTAACTTGGGCTTAAAAAAAAAAAAAAAAATGAACCCATGTTTTGGAAGCTGAGGGGTCAATCAAGCCAGACTGACAGGGTTAGGTGCCACTTCTGTGCATCTAATACCCTCTTAGATTATCAATGAGGTGCAGTACACTGATCACAAGCTAAAGCAGCTGTACTAATGAAAATGAAACAGTCTAAAAAAATTAGGTAATACAAGCCTGTGACATAGGGCAGTACCTTGTGGACAATAATGGAGGAATAAGGACATAAATCACCATTCAGATAAAACCTGTAACATCTACCCTGAAATGTCTCTGTAACTGTGGGCCAAATTCAGCATCTTTGAAACTCCACAGTTCCCTCTGAAGCTGCCACATATTTTTTATACTGAGTTTTCCCTGCATCTTCTTCAGCATCCACAAAATTCTGCCATCCTGTGCCAGTTGGATCTTTGAGGGTAGATAGCTGGCTGTTCATGCCATGAGCCAGGAGTTCTCACAACTGGTTGCAGCACAGATAAATGGGTCTTATCAGCATCTACTCAACCTTGAACAACTTTCTTCTCCTACATATGCCTGTCCAACTTGGGGGCGGAGACTGCAATAAAAAGGCTGGGCCACTCTCATTTTTGTTTGGTAACACAAGGGCCTTAAAAAAAAAAAAACCCTATGAAATTCATGTTGATTGAGTGCAGCCAGCACAGAAGGAACTACTAAACAGAATTATCACCTTGAAACCATAAATGAAGATCAAGTGAATAAATAGCTTCTTCATAATCAGGATTTTTTTATCCTGGAGAAGCAAAGGCACCATATATTCAAACAACAAGCTATATAATTTAATTTCATATGCTTTAAAATTTACTTCATTTAGTCAAATAGTAAATTTCAAAAGGGGAGCACAAATTCAAATATTTTCTCAATTACAAGCAGAAAAACTAAGATATTTCATGAAGTCTATTAGACCCCAAGAATTCACACTAATTAATGTCTTTGCAATTGATTTTAATGGGATTTCAATTGCAGGTGATGTAACTACTGGTCAAGGCCACAGCTAGGATTAAAATGATACTTCTGATTAAAGATACTATTTATAGTACATAAACACACACACCCTTTGCTAATGTAACAACAAGGCTATTACAACAATAACATCTATAAATATACAGGATCTCCTGTTTAAATAAAAGCTCAATATACAAAAAATACAAGTTCAAACATTCCTAAAGAAATAACAACTTTCACATTTCCTTTAAAACATCATTCAAAATAGTTTTCTTAAAATTAATTTTCTTGGTGGTTTTGTAAAATGTTTTTCTTTGAGTGCTGAACAAGTCAAAATTAAGTTTCATCAAGTGAGTAGAACTCCTTGAAATGACGCAAGGAATTATAGGGCAGACCACTTCAGAAGAGCTGGAAGGTCTTTGTTGCTTGAGTTTTCTACAAATCCAGCTTCTCTATTTTCATTGAGGCAGCAAAATGGAGAGAGAAAGAGAAAAAGAATTATTATTTCAATATAAGTTACAAATTTAGAGATGACTTTGAATTTACAAATTGAACACCCAAAATTGTCAGGTCTTCAGTATCCGCACCCCTTTTCTCCCACATCTGATTACCTCAGGATTTTGCTGCATGTATTCCTCTCTGGCAGTTACAACCTCACTTTTGCAAATTATTTTTGTCACAAAAAACAGAGAATACATGATTTTACAGTGGCAAAGGCTTATGAAGCCCTCCTGAAAAACATTAGTAATTATCTACTGAAAATCCTAGCACTATAATGCTAGGTACATATAGAGGCAGTCCTGAAGTAGTTTTATTCCCACAGTGACTACAGTGAGAGATAACCAGTATTACAAGAATTGGTCAGGACACTCCCTTGTATGCAAAAATTTAAGTCATGATCAAATTGATTTTATGCAACCTTGAAAGGGTTATATTATGATACAGTGCTTTAGATTTTGCACTGTTGCAAAGTTAAATAATCTATCAAGAATCTTGGTGTGTTTGCTTTAATCTCAAAACCCCATGGTTTGGGAGCAAATTATTGTATAATCAATACATTTCATTTTAAAACCCTGCTCACTATCCTGCCCATCATACACTCTCTAGGTCTTATTCTTCACAGAATCATTATTCTTGCAGAGAAAAGATTGAATGTGACCTGATAAGACCCTAGAGAGGTCCACAAATCAAAAGCAATGGTGAAGTCAAATTCCTTGAGACTTGTGATCTTAAGGGACAACTCAATTTATTATTTTTTTTAAATGCTGGAAGGTAGCAGTTCCTATTGTTAAACACTATTATAGCTTATTCTATTTGTTGTGTAAACAACCCCCTAGTAAAGACCTAGTGCAAAGAAATTCCCACCTACTTGGGAGGCCATCCCTTTCCTCCAAAGACCCAGAATCCAGAGCATGAAGTACACTTAATTTCAGACAACTAGATACACCTCAAATATGACACATTTCTGATGGAAGTTTACAGCTTTTCCTCTGCCAGAAACTTTGGTGTGTTACTAAACACCAAGACCTTGAGCCAACAGCCCTATGCCAGTCAGCCCCATCGGCTGTAACTCCTCACCTTCATCACCCTCCACAAACCTGAGAACTATGAACTCCACCTAAAGACCACACGATGGAAGAGAGGAGCACTCCCACAGATCAGTAATTAACCATTTCACACACACTTTTTCAGTGAACCAAAACTCCCTGACAACAGACAAAACTCTCACTTAGATACTCTCATTAAATATATTCCTAATCAACAACAAGAAGGCACACATGACTGGTTACAGAGTAATCTGTTATTGCCCTCTTGTTCTCCAACTCCATCTTAAACCTAATGCCTCCTGCAAGGCTATTTGTCCAAATTATTAAGAACTTTCAAACTTTCAGTTGAAAAAAACCTTACTTTCCTCCTAGTGTTTATGCACTTGATGTATCTGCAGCCTCTTCTTAAATTAGCCTGTACTGGGGTATGTTTTCTATGCAGTCTCCTTTGGATGCTCACTACACCAGAAATCTGGACAGGTTTGCATGTATCAATTTCAGAAAGGAATTGAAACATGAAATACTGAGATCTGATGCACTAACTTTTAATCATGTCACTGGACAGGAAACAAGGGCCTAAACATTTTGCTTGAGAACACCCAGTGAACTGGTCAAATAAATCTTCAAGGTTATTGTTCTAGTGAACCATTTGCAGACAGGATATGCCTTACCCCATGAACAGTCTTCCACACTGTGGAAGACCTAACAAAACCTTATTCCAGAAGCAGAATAAATAAGAAGCAGCAGCTTACTTAAAGCTGTCTTTACATCTATTACTCCTGTACTGGATGTGTTCAGACTTCATGAAGATTAAGACTTTGGAAGTTTTTAATAGCAGATGTAACTATGGAATCATGGACAATTTCCTCTACCCTACTCACTCATCCATCACCAAAGACCTACAAGTGCACAAACATTGCTATGTTCAGAACCATGTACCAGAAGTGTTTCTCCTAGCCTTTGAAAGTTAAAAACATTATAAACCTCTAGCTATAGTTAGACAGTTTATTCTAAAAGCTATTGACATCTGTTTATTCTGGAGTTAACTCTAAAACACAAAGAAGTTTTGCCAATATGATTCATTGTCAATTGCAGCCTTATTACTTCTGAAATAAGAATATGGTATTAACCTGGGGTATGTACTGCCATGTAGTAACAGGCAAACCCTCCCGCATTTTCTGAAAAATGTTTGCAAGCTTGTCTTCTTTAACTCTCGATTAAGAAGACCTTGTTCTGACAGACAAAACCACTATCCCTTCCATTCTTACAATATCTTTCACTCTGTCATTAAGTCCTTCATTGGCTTCTATTCATGCACCACATGGTGTTCAAACCTGTTGTTCTTGACTTCAAGGCAACCATACACACCCCTAGTTACATGCTTTTGATAACCTCTAGACCATTCCTAAATTGTCAACTTCCACATTATTTTCCTTTGCCATTGAGCAAAGCATCTTTCTCCTGCATGTGGCCTAAACAGAATTCTTGAGACAAACCATCGTCATACCAAGATTCCACTAAATTATCTATTTCTGTCAAAATATCCAAGGTTAATCAACTGTTTTCTCCTTTAGAAAAGTATCAGAGTTTGAAATAACATTGCCTTTCTTCCCTGCTCGGCAGACTTCTTAGTAAAGCTTAAATTTGACCAATTCACTTCAATTTATTTTGAATTAGAACAGTCATTTGTCTTTTGTGGTAGTTTACATAGTCCAGATAATTCCTCCCTTATTTATAAGCTATGTTTGACTAAAAGGAGATCTCTGCAGTCATTCACAATATTTCAGAATCAATAAAAACATGGCACCAACAAGCTTGCTATGTATTACTTTACTACCCCACTCAATTTTGCTTTTCATTTTGGCCACAGAAAGAAAGGGGGATCCTATAACATCCGAGGTTTTTCACATGACCAGGCTTTTAAGTACTTTCGAAAAAACTGAGATTCAAGTACCTACTAGGAAGTCAGAAGACAACAAAACATGAAACCATAGCACTTGTGGTATTTTTCCCCCTATTTTCTTCCATTTCCTCATCTTTAACAGTCTGTCTGCAACTGGATTAAATATGACTGACAATTACTGCACCTTTTTGGTCTACATACTCCTACTTCCAAGTTTTTTTTGGTGTTATAAAGACCAAGTGACTAAGTGGCTACTGCTGTTCATCTGCAAGTATTTTTGGATTTTGATTCCATTCCTGTTGGACAGGTGCCTTTTACTTCTGCCACACTTACAGTACACAGAAGGCAAGAAGTAACTGCTGCAGAAACATAATCCTCATCTCATATTCCTATCAGGACTAAGGCAGACATACTTGGCAGGAACAACATGTGAATGCTTACTGTAAATTGAGGAAAGCCCATAGTCTATCACCACCACACGTATCTCCATGAGCCTGAATTCACTCACAGATTAATTAAATCTGTACCCTCATTTACTACAGCTGCTTTAAACCCCTGAAAAATTACGAAGTTAAAAACTGATTTTTCCCTACCAAAATACCAGGACATCCTTAACATAACCTTCAAGCCTTTTGAAGCAGTTAATGTAAATGACTGCCTGGATACTTTTTTACTATGAAAGTCTACCAGGAAAACTCTACCATGTGCTTAAAACACACTTCCCCTCCTCAAAAATTCTAGGTAGTTTTAGATCTAAAAGCTAGGTTTTCACATTCTAAAAAGTATTCATTTTCACATCAGGTTGACTGTCTCTACTTGATCCTTCAGTGACATATTAAACAAAAAGTAATAATCATTCTTGTGGAAAGCTGCTAATGCCACATTTAATTTCACATTTAAGAACACTGGGAGAAACAAAATCCCACCCCATTCCAGATACTGAATCTCCTTTTTCAAAAAAGTTCATATTCTCAACAACCTAAGAAGCATCAGCTTCTTTGGCAAAAGCAGGACATGTGAAAACATGTGTCCCAGGCTAACAAAAATATTTTTAATAGGTAAAATAACAGATCGTTTTCTCAGCCAATTCCACAGACATTACATGCATTACAGCCCAGCAGCTGCTTGTCATGGAAAGGACCTGATATGACCCTACACAAGAATAGACGCTTAAGATACACATTTTTAAAAGGAACTAATATCTGTGCCTAGAGTAACCTTAAGTTCTGAAGTGACAGTTATTCATGCCTTCATATGCCGTATGAGGGATTAGGATGTCAAATTTTACTTCGTTTTAGTGATTCTAATGTAAGTACATTCAACAATTTATTGTGCTGAATTATTGATGTGGTCTGTGATTTTTTTTTTTCCTCTCCAAAGACACCAGCCTTTAAGCAGACAAATCAGTGAGGTACAAAATGCAAAGGAGAGATTAACATCTTACAAAATAATAAGTAAACTTTGTCCCCTTTCAGGCAAAATTATTTCCATTTTAAATAAGTTCTAGAATCTAAAATACATTCTCTGAAAATATTAAAATAATAATTTTAATATTAATTTTAAATAAAATATTCCCCATCACTTTGTACCCTGTACTTTTCTCACACTGTAAGACATGTTTGTTAAAGCGACTGTTTTCTTTGTATTCCCAACTACAATAGTAAATATTTTGTATGTAACTAATCGTTTATGTAAGTATAGTCAAACATCTATAAGTACATCTTTAATCACATGCCTACATTCTATTAAGGCTACTAATTAAAATATGAATTGCAGTTTAGATAGCAAAGCAGAAAAAAAATTCCTCATTTTTCTAAATACAGACCAAACGTGACTCTGACTGATGCAAAGTTGAGCTTCTAAACTAACCCCAAGGAATCAGAAGATAAAGCATGTATTTGGAAAAGAAAATTATTCACTGATGTTCATGTAATATATAATTATGTCTTGTAAAAAGACATGGATACTAAGGTCACATTTAGTAATATGCTTTTCTTGTAGAGGGCTTTTGAGCTACTAAGATTTAGGGGTTCTGTTGTCTTTACAGGGTAAAAACCAGTTCCCTTTGGGACCAAGACAATAGATTAAAAATTGTTTTGGAATTCCTCCTCTCCCTATACTGAGGTAAGCATAGAGCATTGCACACAAAACTCTTCTCAGAAGTACTACTAAATCAACCAAGTTACACATAGTCACCATTTATTTCTAAAAAAATGTGATTGATTTAGGTACCTCACTTCCAGGCACCAGAAAAATTCTATTCCAGGATCCCAGTTGTTACATTTAACAGGATATGTATAACAAGTGTCCTTAGCTTGAAAAGCTATATGATAAAAAAAAGTACAGTTTCAGTAATTCAGCAGCAAATATTAATTGTAATTGTAACAATAAATAGTATCAACAAGCTTTGGGCACAGTTAAGAAAGCCTTTTGGCAAATGCACATGCGCTTCCCCTATTCTTCAGGGATCTATTTCTAGTCCAGCAAAGCCACCTTGGCTACATATAGACATTCTCCTTTTAAGGTGTCATCTTCCTTCTGAATTTGCACAAAGTAACTGTAGAATAGCTGCATACAGCAGAACAAATTCTCTTCAGCTTTAGGAATCACAAAGCAAGTAGTGCTGCTAGATGTCTTTATTTTCCTTTAACAAAACACACAAAGGCACAAAATTCACTTATATCTTGTCATTATTGTACAAGTATAAATAGTACTTTGTATTCAAGTACAATCAAGTGTAGAGACTTTCTATATTTTATGTAAACACAAAACAGTTTTGTATGTAGGTGCCTCTGGTTCATCTGCAATGCAAACACCAAAGGAGATGCCATTTATCCGAGTGCCATTTAACTGAATTCTGTCAAGAAGTTAGACAACAAATAATATTAACACCACTGCAATGACACTTCATATGCTTAAGTCAAATGTCAGATGACACTTTAGCTTGTAAACATCTGTGTATTTAACATGTACTCAATTTGTTTAACAGGGCAGCATTAAAATGTATCTTAAATTCACTAGACCCAACTTACTAGGTCACTTGCTGTCAGTAATTGCTCTTTACATGGACAGCTAAAGATATGTCAAACTATAAGTCACCCTTAGCAAAGCTTATACTTTAAAGTTTTTAAATATGCAAACTAAACAATGGCTACAACTGTTAGACTTCAACCAACTATACATTCTATATGTTAACTTAATGACACATGCTTAATTTACAATACCCACTTTTACACATAGCTTTGACACACTGTGGCAGTTGAGGCAGTTTAAGCTCAAGCAAGATTTAAGTTGTACCATTAAAAAAAGCTCACCTGAATAGTAACAACAGGCATGAACAAAGCTAAAAACTAGCTACAGAAGGCACTTGAAGTACTTTATTCTGTTTTCATTAAAGATTCTTCATTTTGTTCAGCTGAAATAGACTCTGAAATAGAGTCTTCAGTTGTTGAAATGTTCTCTGCTTCTTCTTTTTCAATTTCCTCAGCTAGCTTATCATTTAGCTGCTCAGAACTTGGTGTTTTATCATCTGTCTCGTTTGTCTCAATGATCTGGGCCACATCATCTTCAGATTCTGTGAAAAGAAAAATGATGAAATAACTATTTCCAGAAATAAGGAGGCAGCTAATATTATTTAAAAGCAAATGAAACATTTCGTAATCACATGCAGGTTTTGACTAGTAACTGCATGACATTCTCAACTGGTAAAAACTATTTGATTTTTCTAACAAGAGGGTCACACGTAAAACCTATAAAATTTAAGAATAAAGAAAATGCTATGGAGAAGAGTTTAGATCCTACTAAGAAAATATTATGTATTATTTGTATCCGTTCACCCTCAACAATTTCTCTAAGCTTGTTCATTAATGTGAGATGTTAGAAACAATGCATGATGGTAATTCAGCTTCTTTGTGCTTGGTAATGTCAGTTTTACCAACTGTATAACTTTTCCTGTAAGAGTTCAATCTGCAAACAGAACCTAAACATACTACTTTGTGGAAACTACTTTAAACATAAGTCAGACAACCAGAAAAAAAAAATAGCAGAACATATCAAACCATCCAATGAAAATTACTGTATATTCCCAGTCTTCCAAGGGCAAGTGTAGGAAGGTTGCACAGGAGTATATTTCCTCTTAATCTGGGATAGGAGTGTCCTTGATGATATCCATATTTTGAAGACCAAAAACATTTATTGTAAGTACTACCTCTAAAGAGGCAAATTCTAGCTGCACAACAGGATTTCAGTAGCATATGAGAAATGAGTCACATTTCGAAGTCAGCAGGAAAACTGAACGCAAAGTGTTGTACTAAATGATGCAAAGGTACTGTAGAATGATAGTACTGATGGCAGTTTATTTATTGACTAGTATTAGTCAATACCATACAGCTTTAATATATACTGTGAAGGTGAACAGTTTGCAAAACTGATACAAAGTTACAGCTCAAAAATGTCAGCCTTATCAAATGTTTGTAACTTCAGAGAATCATAGAATGGTTTGGGTTGGAAGGGGCCTTAAAGACTCTCTAGTTCCAACAGCTCTGCTACGGGCAGGGACACCGTCCCCTAGAACAAGTTGCTCAAAGCCCCATCCAACTCGGCCTTGAACACTTACAGGAAGGGAGCATCCACAGCTTCTCTGGGCAGCCTATTAGAGCGTCTCACCAGCCTCACAGCGAAGAATTTGTTCCTAATATCTAATCTAAAGCTACTCTCTTCCAGTTCACAGCCATCTCTCCTTGTTCTATCACTACATGCCATTGTAAAAAGTCCCTCTTCAGCTCTCTTGAGGTCCTGAAGGGCTGCTCCAAGGTCTTCCCGAAGCATGTCCTTCTTATGCTGGGGGTCTGTTGTGGTTAAACCCAGCCTGCAACTAAGTATCACACAGACACTGGCTCACTCCCCACCCACCCTCCTGCCACCCTGGTGGGATGGGGAGGAGAATCACAAAAAGTTAGAAACCATGGATTAAAAATAGAACAGTCTAATAGTTGAAAGAAATTAAAATAGTAACAACTACAACAACTGTAAATAAGTGGGAAGAAAGCGGGAAGGGGAAGAAGGGGGGAGGAGAGAGAAAAAAAATTGAACAAGTGATGCCCAATACAACTGCTCCCCATATGCTGACTGATGCCCAGCCCATTTCCTAGCAGTGATCAGCCCCTCACATCCAAACCCCCCCAGTTTATGTATACTGTCCATGACATTCTGTGGTATGGAATATCCCTTTGACTGGTTCAAGTAACCTCTCCTGGCTATGCTCTCCCCCAGCTTCTTGTGTAGCTCCCCACTGGCAGAGCATGAGACACCAAAAATTCCTTGACTTAAAATAAGCACTACGTAGCAACAGCCAAAACATTACTGTGTTATCAACATGATTCCTGCAAGAATTCAAAACACAGCACTATACCAGTTACTAAGAAGAAAATTAACTCTATCATAGCTGAAAACAGGTCAGGCCCAGAAAGCTGGACAAAGGTGGGATCTCACGAGAGTGGAGGGTAAGAATTACCACCTTTGATCTGCTGGTCATATTTCTTTTGATGCAGCCCATTTCTTTTGATGCAGCCCTGGCTTTCTGGGCTGCAAGCACTCATTGCCCAGTCATATTAAGCTTCTTGCCAACCAATACTCCCAAGTCATTCTACTCAGGACTGCTCTCAATCCATTCTCCCAGTCTTTGTTTGTGCTTGGGATTACCCCAATCCAGGTGCAGTACTTTGCACTTGGCCTTGTTGAACTTCATGAGGGTTGCACAGGCCCACCTCTCCAGCCTGTCAAGGTCCTTCTGGATGGCACCCCTTCCCTCAACTGCACCACACAGCTTGATGTCACCAGCAAACCTGCTGAAGGTGCACTCAGTCCCACTATCCATGTTCCTGACAAAGATATTTAGCAGTGTTGGTCCCAAAAATCAACCCCTGAGAAAAACAGTGCCAGTCAAATGCCACTTGCTCATATTTATCAAAACAGGCTGTGTGTCTGAAAGTAATCAGACTGCTTCAGGCTGACATTCAGAATTCAAGCAGGGATGAAAGTTTTAGAACCATTGCTCTGGTTTCTCAGGTCATAACTGACAAGAGGAGCTGCTACACACCCTTGTCCATCAGACCAAGTACAATTGCCATCTGACACCAAGAACTTAAGACCCCTCTTCCCACACAAGGCTCCATTTAGTTCCAGGCTCCACTTCAGGTTGCTCAGAGCAGCTCAGCTTCTCCATTTTTTTGTCAGACTTGATCTTTCATCTCAGCAAGTCTGCAGTTGACTTGCCTCCTGATTCAGCTTCCTTCTCTGTTTTCTCAACCACAGGCTGCTCTGTCCTGGCATCTTGTTCCAAAATTTCTCTAGAGCCATCTCTCAGATAGTCAACCCCCCTATTTCTGCCCAAGCAAATTAATATTCCCAGTTACTTTCCAGACCATCCCACTCTCTCTTCCCGCTCTCCAATTTCCATCTTGATCCCATCTCTGCCTGTGCTCAATCTTTATCTCCCAACTGTCAGTTTTCTTTCTGTCTCATCTCTGCATTTTTTCCTTCGGCCTCAAATTCTATGAATAAGTTTGTGCCTTTTCCTGCTACAATCCTTCCACACTTGAGTTACATTCCTTCTTTATTGCTGCTATTCAGGCTCAGTCAAAGACAGAACAGGATGTAAGGAAGATGCAGCTCCATGCCCTCTCAACTCATCTGTAGCATAGCCCAACCATTACTTTATTTACAGAGTTTCAGTCCTGCAGTCCTCAGCTGAATCTTGCTTAGCACTCTGCAGAAGTGACTCATTCTAACACAGGTAAAGAGACTATTTGCTCAGTCTGATCAGAAGGATGCCATCTACAACACCTTTCAGTTAAGTCCCAGGGACAATCACAGCCCTAGCAGAAGCAAGGAGAAGCTTCTAATGAAAACCCGATCAAGTGCATATTCTAACTATCTATATTCAGAGGAACAGGAGAAGGATGGTGCTTTCATTTTTATATTCTACTAAAAGGTATGGAGACGGTGCTTCTTTAAGCAAAAATTGTCAGGTATTATATGACTTTTCTCTTCACTCTGTTCTTGATTAAACTTACTGGAACTCTTGAAACTCTCCAGAATATTCAGTTAAAACAAAGTTACATGAAAAATTTTGGTCTTATAATTATGCCTGACAAAGTTATAAGGAACTCAAGAGTAGGTCCTTTAAAACAGTAGTCAGGCAATCAGAGTAAGTGATGCTAACTCCAAATATGATCAGCCTTCATTAAAAATATATAGTGATTCCATTTTACATACAGCAATTAACGGAAAGCTTGCCTAAAGTCAACCTGATTTCAATATTGCATGATTTAAGGTATTTAAGGTGAGAGCAGCTAACAAGCGAAAGCTGACTACAAACTTAAAGATAACACCAGAAAATTGAAGTGTCCTTGATGATTAACACTTAATCCATGATTTAATCAAAGAATGTAGCTACACCTACATGATATTAACAGCAAACAGCCCTATGCTGGCCTGAGGCAAATTTAAGAGCTGTAACAATGCAACCTTAAAAAACCCGCTCCTGGCAACAGCAGTTCTTTTTAGTCCCAACACTCCTGGTTAATCCACAGTACTTAAAAAGTGTATGTACTTCACACTGTAAGTCAGTTACCCCTCCTCTTGTTGCAGAGTATTTCACAGTGAAATCACAATACTGCATCACTATTAAATTAAGTAGAAAATACCTCTTATGTGGGAATTCAAAAAACTAGTATAAGATAATTGCTCTAAAATATAGCTACTTGTGCTTTCAAGACCTTTGGGACAAGTTTTCTTCACTACTACAGCTCCTTGTTAAGACAGACTTTCACATAGTGCCATGTGGCTGAAGTAGCTTTAAGGAACATGTGCCTCACAATAGCCTGTTAATGGCTTTGATTATCACAGAAAGCTACTGTGAAGCCTTTGAAAAAGAAGTCCGATAATAGCATAGCATTCCCTCTACCCTTCATATCCTACCAAAAAAGCAAGGCTATGTTGTTCAGCAAAACTGAACTGTGGTTGACTGGAAACATAATACATTTTAAAACCAAAAGAACTTGTTTACAAGCCATTGAACTCAAGGTAAGCTGACCTATGTCTGCTTGAGAAATCACTGAGTTCTAGGTATAGTAGCTGAACTAGGGAAAGAGCATAGCACACAGTAGTAAATCATCATAAAAATATTTGAGCAAGATGGTCAAGGAATTCCACACAAATCTGGAGACAATACATAAAGCAGTCCATGAAGTGCTGACCACTGCAGTCAAATCTGAAGCAGCCAAATTTTGTTTCAACCTTCAAAACAGTGCTAAATGATAAACCTGAATCAAGAATGCAGCATAACAGTACTAAATATAGGCAAGGCAAAATTAATCAAGAGGCTAAAAGTTGTTCCTGTTGGTTTTTCAATACGATCCAAACATTAATGCTTTTTAAAAAAGTACATAAGAAAACCAACTAGCCTTTAATGAAGAAAAAAATACCATCAAGAGTAAGCCATTTAAGGAAAAGGTAAGAAGAGAGCTGAAGTATATTTCTTCATTCTGGTACTAAAATTTCCCAAGTTACTCTGCTGAATAAGTAAGCATGGTATTTGTACTAGTAAACTGCATCAGACTGACAGCTGATGACTTCGTATTTCAAGAAGATTAAAAAAACAAAATTCCGAAGTTCGGTGCCAACAGCACTTCCCATAACCATTCTTCAGATCTCTTATCCACAGAAGTTGTATGTAACATGCTGTCACTGCATGAGCACACAACTGAAAAAAGATTCAGCTTCTTGCTCTACTCATTAGTCAAAGTAGCTGACTGGTAAAAAATATTTATAGCACTTCTGTATCACATTAGCTTGCAGTTTCTTTGAGCTATAAAGCTATGGTTTAAATGAGTTACAGAGAAGAGCTGGGACTTCTCTGTGTTGTCAACATTGTGGTGAAGTTGGTTTCCTGATGTTAATGTTTGTCTACATCTGCAAGGCAAGATATTCTCTATTCTTGCTACAACAGCAGCTGTATTACTGTGGTGAACAGAAGGCTTCCCCAGAGCTCTACCTTAATGATAGATTCATACCTTACAATCAAGGAATATGTTCATTTACTAATAAAGCCCAACTGCATGTAAGCAGTTATGCTTTATATTACGGTTCTGATGGAAAAAGTGATTTACTGGAAATATTTTCTCATTCAAAAGAGATTCCTTCACAGCAAGTCACAGACAGGCACTGGCCTCTTCTACATCAACAAGGTATTTCTTAGATATTAGTTATGGAAAATATCAACACATACTCTTTCTGGCTGCTTAGCAATTATCATAACAGAATGACTTACATCATCTTAGAGATTAAATATTCAGAAAAGATCAGCTATTTAACCTAGAAAACCAAAAATCAGTATACCAGTTACTTATTTCATATGCCTCTTCTGAAAAATTACACCACATACTTCCTATCAAGAAAAGAGAACTGGGGAATGAAGCCCACAGTTGCTCTTTTTGTTGCTTTTAAATAAAGCAGTACATTAATACAAGACCACATCACAAAAAACAATTTTCATTGTTAAAGGTAAATTGGTAAAATCACATTTACTGCAATAAAGCCATCCTATTTTTCTCCTGAAATACTTGATAAAATTCTGCTTTCTGAAGTTTTCAGTCCTACCTCTGAAGTGCCTAATGAAAATCTCACACTAATTTTTAAGGTTTTACTTATTATACAACATTTATAGACTGACTCAGCAGCTCACTAAAAGCATAGTTTGATAACCATTTCTTTCAATGATAATACCAGATTAATTAGCAAACACCCCTCCCAAAACCTCTAATAACCTGTAGTTATAATACTCAGAAGCCCCTGAGGCACACAACTCCAAGAGCTGAGTATCCTTTAAGGACTTCTCCATTTGAGTCACAAAAACAAGCCCACTTTTAAAGATCTCAGTAATAAATAATGTCTTTATCTTTTAAGTTCAAAAGTAGCCAAGAAGCATCTAAACCTACCGCTCACTAAAAAGATGATTCTATGATTTGAGGGCAAATAAGACATTTTCACTGTCTTAGTTTCATGCATCTGCATTCATTCTTACTTTCATGCCAGCAACAGTACTTTCTTTGAGGTAGGAGCACACTGTGGCACAGGAAAAGAAACCAACCAAGTTTTTGCTACAATGCACTCTCACAAGGCCACACTCTGAGACAGCCACTGTTAGATACGACTGCCCTACTGGTCCTGTGCAGCCTTCCCATGCCAGTAAATAAAGGCCAAAGCCATTTTGTGCTCCCTGTTAAAAATAATCAAGCAGAAACATGCTTTCTATTGCACTGTGAGTTTCCCACAGTTGGTGTGTTTCTAGCTGCACACTATTCAATAGCTTCCCACCATGACCCCTGCTTAAACTAACATGAAGTCCCATCAAGCACTCAATAGCACATCTAACTGGAGATCTTCTGGTTTGAAGTTGTAATTTCTGGAGTCTTTTAAAACACTGCATCTTCCTGTTGGCTGTACACCAGATGCCTACTGTATCTGCAGACTATAAAATGTCTCAAAAGGAACTATGTTAAATTAAAATTGACAATTTGTCTTTGAACTACCTGAAATTAAACAAGGCAGTTTTACTAGATTTTCCTGCCCTGAGGAAAAGAGCAAAAGGAACAAAGGCAGAAATTCCAACACACCTCAATCAAATAACCTGCCAAACACAGTGAAAGTTAACTACTTTGGGACATAGTCCCTTCTTAACCATTTCTGTAATTTACAGTGCTAGTTCCTGTTTGTCAGTAACATTTGAGCGAAAAAATTTGTTATGCCATCACTTGCATGAGATATTAACTAATATGAAGAAGTTTTAAAGTACAGGAAAAAAGACACTAACAACCTAAGTTAGAAGCAGGGACAAGAACTGAGAAAACATATAAACTGCACTTATTATGAAGTCAGAATAAACTGTACTTCAGTTAGAAGGGACCAACAACAATCATCTAGACCAACTATATAAGGCTTGACCAGAAGTTAAAGCATGTTAAGGGCATTGTTCAAATGCCTCAAACACTGACAGGCATCGACCACCTCACCAGGAAGCCTGTTTGAGCAGTGTTTGATTATTTCAGCTGTTTTTATTCTTATTAAAAAAATGTATCTAAACAGAGAGATAGATGACAGGGGGGATTTCATTAGACATTTTAAAAAGACCAGACTTGATGAGATTAGTACATACCTTCTGTCTGTTCAGTCTCCTGGGGCGTTTTCTCTCTGGGTTCTAGAGGCTCAGTTTCAGCTTGCGATTCCGTAGATCGCCTTTTTTCAAAACTGAAGTCTGGAAGTCGTGGAGCTTGAGGTCTAGTTTTTCTTGCAGGATTCAGGAAAAAGCAGTAGGCACACCTAAATGCTACACAAAGCAGACCCCGTAAGTAGCCTCACTAATTGACTTCACATTTCACCTTTTTTCCTACACTATATTCTGACAGCCCAAAACACAAAAAAAAGAGAATTAAATAAGTGACCATCAGTACCTGAAAGTATCTCCACCAAATTTACACAAGCAGTTCCATATAGGTCCTTTTTTAAATTCAGCATACAGTTGCTTTGTAAAAACCTGTTTGCTTTCAGCGCTGCCGTGCTGAGTAGAGCCCAATGCTATTAAAGATTTGACCACAATGAACATAATAATGCAATTCAGTACCCCAAGATGTTGCCATTGTTCTTCTATTCTTTCCTACAAAATAAATTAGTTGGCAGATAATTTTTTTTTTTTTGCTCCCCTTAAGATGCCACTTTCCTCACCCTTTGAGTAAGGAGATGATAGAAATTCCACAAGGTATGTCTCTCTCTGCTTTTTGAGGAGCATTCTGATTCAGTGGTGCTTAATTAAGAAAAAGTAGCTTTGTTCTGCAGAAGTACTAGATACCACTTAGCAGTTAAGCACCTACTTCTGCTCTCCCCACTCCTGCCAAAAGGGCAGAAGTGGCAATTTCTGGCACAGTTGAGTTGTGAACTCACTTGAACTAAGGTGACATACAGACTACATATCTTTGGTTTCATAAGAAACATTCAGTGCTGTATATTTACTTATAAAATTAAGCAAAACATAATTAAATAGAAGATTTATCTCAGATTCCCTGGTTTCTTAAGTATCAGGCTTACACTTGTGGTAGAAGGCAGGCAAAATAAAACATCTGTGTTCTATAAAGAGCTGTGTCTGTCTCAAGTTATTGTCAGCCATAAACTCACATAGAGCCCCCTAGGGCTTGTTCCCACTCTTTTTCCGATATCTCCCCAAGATCTTCTTGACAAAGCAAAATTTTAAGTTCTGTTAAAAGAGGCACACTTTAAAGTCAGATAGCTTCTCAACATAAAACCCTTCTGAGAACCATTCATAGCCAGTAGCAATGTTCAGGGATGTACTGGAGGAAGCTTATTTCCACTGAACAGTTTTCTACAAGTAAAATGCTTGACCTCAAGGTTGCAATAAAGTACTTCTTTAAGTCTTGAAGGAAGTCTTTAGATACAGAGTAATAAGTTACCCAGAAATGTTTCCATATGATTTGGTACTTCACAATGACAGTTAAGTACTTAACTGCAACCAAAAAAAAGTATGATGAATACTAGTTATGAAACATAAGCCTAGTAACAGAGTTTAACACAGATTATCTCTTACCTATGTATTCAAACTCCTCCTTCAAAGCCATACCATTGTGGGAAAAGCATTGCTGACATATAAGGGCATACCTGGAAAGTATGAATAATATATAATTACATATGTTTAAGTAATAACACACTGAACGGAGATGTATTTTACCTTACATATTGACTAATACCTTAGATATTTTCTCTTAAAAGGTAATTTCCACAATGAAATTATTATCCCGAAAAGCAAAGTAAATCTGCATATTACATAATAGGATTTAAAGTTGGTTTAAGCACAGTGAAATATTCTTAGCTACACTTTAAACCTCATGGTTCAACATATTTCTAATATCATCAGTGTCAGAAAATAACACCTAAATTAAGGTAATATTCACTAGAATACAGTAAATACGAAAAGTGACCACAGTTAACATGGAAGGTCTGAAAGGACTGGACAGTTCTGAAGACAATCTTAAAGGTATTTAAAATGGATATAAAGCTCAAGTGCTAATGCAATCGGTTTGGGGTTTTTTTGTTCAAAATATAGAACATTCATCCACTTGAGCACAAATTTTTCTTTGTATCACATGGCTAATACCACCCAAAACAGAGGTTAATTTTGCCAAAATATTACCAGTATACCTGCAAAGAGATACCAGGTGAAACAAGGAGAAAAAACCATTTAATTATGAAAATTTTGGACAAATTCATTTGCAATCCTTTTAACTTGACATCAGGCTTAAACAAAAAGGTTAAGAAGCTTTCTTTCCCCTAAGTGTTTAATATTTCTTTTATAACACTTTTACCTGTTCTGAGGACCATCACCAACCAAATATTCAATAACTCTATCCACAACTCCTCTTTCTCGAGGAAGAATAGGTCTTGCCAAAGGAGGGCCTGGAGGATGAAGACCTAGGAAGACATGAATTATGTCAAAATTATTTTCAACTATATTATTATATGTGATATTTTACTATGTGTTCTAGTGTAATAAAATAATTGCACCTACTTAATAGACATGGTCATATTTCTCAGTCCACTAGGAAAGCTGTAAGATTTTTAAACCTGTGGCAAATGTCAAACATTGTAAGAATCAAATATTTTCAATAGTGCCCTCTTTAAGTGCTACATATAGAACAAGACTAATCCTGCCATTAAGGCTGCATTATTCATAACAGCACAGCCTTTCAGAACAGGTCTCATCAATACTGGATAATTGATCTAAATGGACTGTCCCAATCTTTAAAAGCACAAGAAAATTTGATCAGAAAATACTGCAACTTACAACTCTTCAACAATAAGTACAAAAAAAGTTTCATACTTAATGTTTTTAAAATAGGCCTCATTTTCACAAACAAGAGGACTGAATTCAGGAGATAACAACCAGTGAATGTATTCCCAAGTTATTCCCGTATTTTGTCCTCAGGCAGGAAGCCAGATCAAGAAAACCTTCACAGCAGCAAGGTAGAACAAATTCAGTGCAATATAAACTGGATTCTGCAAAAGCTGTTTAAAGCAGAGGTCAGGCAAAATGCATTTCCTAAAGGTTCACAGAAACCAGAAAGACTTCTATCAAGAAAATGCACTGATACAATCTGCAATAAAATTAAAGCTCTAGAATAATTTTGCGAATACCTGGTTTACACTCAAATGTTTTAGGTCTATATTCAAACAACCCAGGTTTTCGTATGACCTGTAAATCACCAATATATTAAAAGTTTCTAAAAGACAAACTAAGTAAAAATTGAATAAAAGTTACCTAGAATGGAACATCACAACACACTCCAAGAACTACTTCAATTAACTGTCTGCTAATAATTCAGACCAACCATCTTGGTTCTCATGCTGTTATGGACACCAGTAATTAATATAAACATCAAAAGCAATCATTGTAGAAAGACTGGTCATTTCTGCAAAGCTTGGCAAACTCTCAACTACCTGCTGGTTATTAATTTTCAAACATATGGGAGCTCTGTGGTAATACACGTTAAATTGATTCTCCTCTACAAAATATAGCATAATGAAAATGAATTATTAATCTTCTGTAGGCTATTCATATTTGTTGCAAGCCATGCATAAACTCAGATACAATATTATTCTTATAGATACTGAATTTACACACTTTTCACTACAACTTCATCATCTTATATGCCTGGAAGGTTTGGGCAAACACAAGAAAAAGCAGGGCTTCTGTATGAGCTGACAGTTGCAGTGGCTCCCGTTGCTATCTATGACAAAATAACATGTTTGGTCAAAATACCAGTTACTAGTGGGGAAAAAAGTGCCTGTAAGACATTATCACAGAAACTACATTGAATATTTTAATTCCCAGGCTTAGCAACCGTCCTTTCAAACAAGTCAGTTTCTTTCTTTCTCTGAGTCATTTATGCAGTAAAGGCTGAATTTCATCCAGCTTATTCAATGTGCCTGAATCTTCCCTTAAGAATAAAGCTATTATATAGCTGATATTATTTTATTATATAGTCAGCTTCCTTAACAAGGAACGTGCAATTTTAAATTCATGACGGAATTTTCAGTAAGCAGGTATCAGTAGATGTGGTTTATAACCAATTGACCAATTTCCTGTGCAAGGAGCTAATTTTTAGTACTTCGAGGTAATCAAGATTTACTAATAACTTGCCTTTACAGTTCATAGAAGTTTCATAATACAGGCAAAGAACTACTAACAAAAAATAAGGCTTAATGGACTCTACAGAGAAGTGAGACCACAACTTCCCATGAGAAGTTTACTCCATTACACTAAACAATATGAAAAGGCATTTTAAAATTCAGCTTCCCAAGATCTTCCACTAGAGAGCAGGTATATTATGTATAGTCCTACTTTTTGACTGCATCATGGAAATTTGTAAGGAAGGACATGCAGTTTGTAAGACTTAAGTAGCTTCAAGTAAAAATCAGGAACACAGGGCAGAGAAACATATTCTTGATCCCTGTACATACAGCAAAGAACCACTCCACATTACAGTGGTGGTCATGAGATTCTTGGCAAGTTGCATTCCTTCTATATTCAAGAAAGCATTTCATCTCCTTTCTTGCCTTGTGATTCAACTTGCCAAACATCCTACAATGAATGAAAGGCCTGGCATGAACCCATACACAGCTTTACCACCTATGAGGAAAATGAGAACAATACTGCCCACCCAAAACTTCCAAATTTTGCAATCCTTTCAATATAATTTAGTTCATATTCTATTTAATAAAGTCCATTCCACCTGAACACCAAACTAGAAATCAAGGGAAAAACATTTTCAGGATATGAAACTAAATTTTAAGGAGTACTCAATTCTACCAGATTGCAACCTAGTGCTAAGCTTTTGACTCTTGTACCAAAATAACAATGCCATTTTAGAGTTCAGCTACAACAGAGACAACGTTTCTGTTGTATTTGGTATTTTACACTTTAATCTATGAGTATAGATTGCATGACTATACCTTCTAGAGTAAAAATTTAAATAAATGTCAAGATGTATGTTAAAAAAATATGTGCAGGGTTTAGTGAGAAACAGGAATGTATTCTGAAAGTGTTCTCCTCTGCACCTGATTTATATAAGCATACAGCTCTTCTAAACTAAGAACATAAAAAGGTATGCTATATTGTTGACTACAGAATACTGCAAAGTTTTATTGCCATTTAAACAAAGAAGCCATAACAGTTAAATGAGCTCAGGCAATAGGTTTCAGCATCAAAAGGTGCCAGCTGTAAAGAGTTATGGCTAATTGAATATGGAACTCCTGCTTAATCAGATAACTGCTCTGCTATTTCCAAATGAAATGCCATTTCCATACTGTCTGAAAATGGCCTATTTTATCGGTAACCAGAGAAAACAATATAAACTGTAAATAACATTAAGTGCTCTGTTTACCCATTCCAGGCACTGAAGTAGCAGGGGATCCAGGGCGTCTTGGTAAAACATTTGATTGCAAGGATGGCACAACAGTTCTTTCTGGGACTCCGCTCAGACCTGATGAGTCTCTCTGCAGATTAGGAGATGCTGGAACAGGTGACTTGGGAGAACCTTGTTTAGGAGTCACAGGTGGGGTTGTAGAAGCATTTCTTTGAGCTGCAGTTCTCTGACGAATTTCTGACAAGAAATATGCATACTGAATTTAACATCTAGCATTCCAAGCAAGATATTAGAAGTAGTAAATTAATAGTTTTATTCCAATCAGCAAATTACAGAGTCAAACAAAACCAGGAAGGTCTGAAACTAAAGATCACCAGCTACCTGGCTGAGCATGCCATAGAAGTAAATACCACACAGAATACTGAATTTTAATAGCAATAATCATTAACTGTTACATACTTTGGGCAAGATTCTGCTAGAAGGAAATTAGCAGACACCTCATGATTCTGTTCTCTAAGGCAGAACGTTAGAGAGACAAACAGCTAGACTCAAACCACAGTGTACACAACTGACTACTTTTTACTCCATGGTTTAAACATGCTTCCAAATACTGAGCTTTCCATGGGACCAAAACTATTCAGTCAGAATCTAAAATGGCCAGGCTAAGTGCCCAAAGTTATTTAAAAAAAACAGATTGGATAAATGAAACAATTCTAAAACCAAAAGATCATAGTTTCAGTCACTTGTTTCAGCAACCCTACCATGAAATCACATGCTTGAATTGTCATAGAGCAAGAACAGGCTCTGCTGGAACATGTCTTTACTTTTACCTCTTCTCACATCACTATCAGGGTTACTATTAAATCATTATCATGAAAAACTTACAAGGTTTCCTCAGTTGTTCTTACCTGAAGCCAGAATTCTCATTAAGTCCAATGGGAATATCACCACAGTAATATATTATGGTTTGAATATTATAATAATCATGCAAACCTGAAGTTCATACACTACTGCAACAAATCAAATTGAAATGAAACCGTCACTTTAAGTCTGCAGACATTAACATGGTTAACAAGTAAGACTACATGCCCACAACTAAGACTACAGTACCCTACAGAGTAGGCATATAGCATATAGCATCCACATCACTTTGAACAACCTTGCTTGTCTTCCTTCACAACAAATGGAACTTCACATTACATTTGGACTTTAAAATCATCCACATGCATTGCAAGATTAGAGAGATTTTTATCTGCTCACTTTGTGTCAGGCTGGAAGAATTTAAATGCTTAGCAGGCAGTTTACAGGTCCACTGGCAACCAGCCACTGGAAAATGGGTGTGCTGAGACTGAAGGAATGATCCCTGTCCCTAAAAGTACAACACTACCAGACTAAGCTTCTGCTTCACATGGAGAAGGGGGAGGGAGTGTGTGACATCAGCTTACACTAGCTAAGAAAGAGTTGCTATCACTGAAGTACTAGGTCAAACATAAAAGTTGTGTTGGCAAACCACCAACATCTAGTGCCATGAAAATTGCAACATACATAGGTTATGGTCTTGCCTACTTATCTGTCTGTATAAATAACATTTAATATACAATAGAAGAAAGAATTAAAAATTCTTTGGTAACACCAATAAAAAACTGTAAGTGTTCAAACTCTTATTAAAAATCCACCTAGTTCAGTTTCCTACAAAGCAGAAAAAATTACTAGTTTTCCCCTGCCACCCTTCAAATCCATGACCGCATCACTTCACACAACTTCATCATCCAAGTTAGATCACCAGATGAGTATGAAGATTCTGTATTTTAACTTGATTTTAGAAAGTAAAGTTTGTCCCTTCACTATTTAAGCTATTCAGAATCTGGAAACCAGGATAAATTGGTAGCTGCAGAAATTCCATTAAGGTTTCCTTGGTGACTTGTTTCTATTTTGAAAACTGCTCCTGTGTTGAGAGTTTTATCTTAATTAAGTATTCATTTATGACAAACCTCACCATTAAAATGTCTTCAAGAGCTTTTCGTGAGAGACAGTAGTAGTAACCTTTCAAGTTTTACTACACTAGAATAACTGCATCATCCTCTCCACGCCATCTGACTAACAGGCATGACTCATATTCAAACAATATATTGATTATGACCCATGATTTATTATCCATTATACTCAAGTTTGTCTTATAGTTTCCAGTCATGTACTAGCTCCAAAATTTAAGCTAAAGGTATGCAATTTCTCGATTCTTCTCAGCTCCACATATGTTCAAAAAATTAGTGATAAAGCCTAATTCCACTTGTTCCAAGATCATTTTAAATATCTATAAAAAGACATATTAATCCATTCTCTTTTCATTACAAAGCCTTCTTTATACTGTTTTTTATATAAAAACGTCAAAGATCGTGACTGTAATTTCTACATATGGATGTCATTTTTACATTGTGAAGGCTGCCTTTCTAGATCATGTGGTTCAAGCACGTTAATTTTGATTGCTTAACAGCTCTGAGTCTGTTTCAATAGGTCATGGCTATATTCATATTTATTCTGAGCCCATAGTACATTATTCCTAAGCAATTTCCATGCTGCCTGCAAGAGCTTTGCCCCTTTTGCCTGTTCTTTCTAAAGGGTCATTCCTGGCAAGTCTTCTTTAAATGACTTTCAATTAAGAAAAGTTACTGCTACTTTAATAACTCTTCCCCCATATTTCCTGCAAAGATGTTGAACTCAAGTACTACGGTCAGTATTAGAGAGATGTGCTTCAGTAGTTTTAGTCTCATTACAGAGTTAAGAATGCAAGACTCATTGCTAGTTTCCACAAAATTATATTGGGTTATTCACAATGCCTTTTTCTTTTTCCTCCACTTAGAAGTTCATTTGGCTCTCACTCTATTTTATGATTCATACTTAAGACAACTTGCCAACACACTGCGGCTTCCCAAGTAAGAGAAGTTACCAGAACCTGCACTATGAGAATATGAAAAATGTTCTCCTTGGTAAGACCTATAGCCCATCCATCCCAGTACTTCATTTCCTAGAGCGGCTGTAGATGTTATTTAGTGACAACACACTAACCTAAATTTCTGTTGCCTACATCTCTGATACCATCCCCAGAATCCATAAACACATTGTCAGGGATGTTAGAGAGCACAGCCCTGTCTAATCCATATCCATCACATATGCATGCTGTTACCAATGAACTCCTCTAATTCCTTTTAAACCTGCTGTCCACTTTCACAGTAACAGCCCTAATATTTTTTGCAGTAACTGAATATGATCTATATAGTTCTCAAATTGCCTTATTTTGAGATGCAATGTGTTAAAAATCGCCTCTTGCAAAGTTCCAGATTTCCATACTTCCAAGTTCCACAACTTAGCTGAGTAACATGTCCATTGACCTCAACCCTGACACAACATACAGGTACTGCTGCTGTAGTTTTAATGAAGTTTTGCAATTTTCCAAGGATTTTCTTCATTAATGATTTTTGCATATCCAAAAGCCAACTGCATGAAGACACTTAAATAACTTAAAAATAGAACTTTTATTCTTAAAGCACACTACAGTTCAAATTCTGCAGTTACCAGCACCGAACAAGACAGATGTGAAAGCAGACACATTACTTAGCAGGTATGCTACTCAACTGATGATTCAGTATGATCTATTAAAGAATATTAAGATATTGCAGTGGTGAGGCAGCTGCATCTTTCATGTTTACAAGCAAAACTATTTTATTTTTCCCTCACTTCAAAACTCCTTGGTTTTTGTAGAGAAGAATACATCATTTTTAAAGAGCTACAGTACAATGCAGGTCAATATATAGTTTACATAACTTGTTGGCTTTAGTGCCAAAGACCAATCAAGCATTTTCTTTCTTCCTCCTCATGCCTATACCCATCCCAGCCTGCAACCATCTGTTATTGCACTACTTTTAATTCAAGTCATGGAGCGAATTAATTTAAAATACAGCCCTGCTAAGTCATATTAGCACAATGAAAAGAGCAGGTATCAACAACAGGATATGGTTGATAAATATTTATTTCACTGCAAATATATAGTTACCCTATTTTTCTCTATGGCCAAAGTACTGAATAAGTATATGCTCATTAAGTACACCCCTCAAAATATTTCTGAATAGATGAAGCTGCACTTAAATTTTCACATTCCTCTCCCTCTAGGTTTCCTGGTGCTTTCTTATGCCAAACTCAAGATTGATATGAATCATCTGTTAAAGTTACCATTATCTATCTAAGAAGCACATGTCAAAATCACAAAAATTGCAAAAAGAGCTAAATACATTGAAAAATTGGGCTGTTTTTCTGATAATCAACCATTATGCAATGCTAGTAAAATCTTTGTACCGATTAGTATGATGTGCAAGTTTCCATTTCAACCATTAAGTCAAAAACCTACAAACTAACTAACCTTTCATCAGTTGTCTCAAACACAACATTGTCCAATCTGATTACACATTGCTCATTATTTACCCTGTTTTCAAAAAGACTCAATTATAGAGCTCAAAGTAATGAGTTCTGCTACTTGGCTAGCTTGTGTGCAACGTGAGTAAAGGAAAGATCAAGGAAGCTTTAATGTTGATGTGTTAACACACATTTTATTATTCCAAATCACTTTAATTCCACCACATACTGCATGCACCAAATTATACCATAACCACGGAAAGGTGTCATCTAGTTACACTAAGTTATATACTGCACAGAACAGACGTTACTAGTCATTTTAGGCAGATATTTAGTGTGATCAGCAATAAGCTTGTAGGTTTTTTGATAGTTAAAAATTGAAATTATTACTGCATATACCAAGAACAAGATATTCGGAAAATAAGTATCCACGATTCCACAAGCTAAAGCCAAATGGGGTGTCCCTCCTGAATTATAATGCATGTCCAAAATACAAACCTGAATACCCACTTTTACAGGGACAACAAGCAGTACCAATTCCAAAATTAATGCCTTAGAGAACAGGTTGGAAAAAAGACAATAAAGAAAGTTGTGCTGTATATGAACAAAATTATACTGAATCATACAATTATTTAGGTTGGAAAAGGTCCTTAAGACTATCAAATCCAACCATAAGCCATGACAACTTACAAACTTTATTTTCCAAAATCTTTTGCAAGGTTAAACTGCACTTCTGTTCAGGATAAAGCAAATTGCTTACTTTAAGGTGAATGCATCCGAAGAAGCTGAATGTTACATTTTCTCAGTTGCATCCCCACTTAAAGGTCTCTGGTTCACACCGTGACACAGCCAGAGAGCAGCACTTATATTCTTTGCAAATGAAAGATCCCTTCCACCAAGCCCATGAGACCAGTTTACAGCTAACCCTAAATAAAAAGTTCTAAGCACAATTAGTGTGGGCAAATTCCTCAGCAACAACTGTTTCACAAAACTACTCATATCATACCACACTTATTAATGCCGACCACAGTCTGTAGTGATTGGCTCAGAAATAATTCTAACTCTCTCAGAACCTCTCCCTCACAGCCCTTCTATTAACATTCAAATCAATCAACACAACACAGCATATGCTGGATCCAACTAACCTGTTTTTGACTGACTCAGAACCCAGGATCAAAGTACAGGCACTGTGTTTTGAAAACCCAAACATACACAAGACTAGTTAGTTAATAGGGACTGAGCAACTTACTTGTCACCACTGCTACTTACACAGCCTGGGTAGAAGGGAAAAGAACAATCATATAACTCCTAAGGAGTTTCAAAACTGCTGCTGCTATCTCTTAATAAAGCCAGGGTGACTAAAGACTTAACAGTGTCTTATTTATAGATAGCTATCTCTATCTCTACAAGAAACACACATTTCCAGGCAGTTTCCTCCCCTGGTCAGTGTTACTTGCATTCTACAAACAGACCTGTCACACTACTACTGGACTACTGTAGTGGTTTCTAACATATCTCTAGGAGAAGGATGAATTTAATAAAGAGTTTAAAAAATGCCAACCATAGGCTACCTAAACATTACAGTTATGACAGAAAATTCTTGGCAACCACCCATGAGCTGTATTAAAACAGAGAACAGAACAGGGTGTCAGAATGGCCCTTCAGACTGAACAAAGCTATGAACACTGCAGAAATGGAATGATGGGAGAGACAGGTAAGGGGCAAACTTGAGAAAAAGCTGTTGAGCCTAAGACACCAGAAGAGATTGAAGCTTTACTGCTAAGGTACTGGACTGCAACTATTCACTGTCAATGTCAACAAGTAAGGATGGTTTTAAAATGACAATTTGAAGCTAAGCAAGAAGAACGAAACAGTGGATTTGATGATGCACCTTATAAACTCCTTTGTTAGTAAATCCAGGTGCTCTGCACCTAAGAAAACCAGTACTCCAAGAGTGAAAAAAGAAAAAATGCGTTTGGTTACCCACAAAAATTAGACACACAGTTGAAAATTCTAATACATTCTCTAAAGCAATCTGTTTATTTTATGGAAAATTATTAAATGCACATCAGATTTTGAAGTTTACTTTTAGCACCAGCCCTTACAGGTTATAACATAGCAAGTTAGCTACGAAGGTCTCTCTTAAAGTGTGAGTACCATCTTCAGTATTAAAATGTTTTTTTATATTGTCTTCATACTAGCATTTTCAGTCTAATTACAGCATATTATACTCAACCTCAACAAAAACATAACAGTACTTTTTGCATAAACATTTGCATAAATTTCACATTTTTAATGCAAGCATTCTACTGTGAGTGTAGAGGAGAGATCTTTGCAGTCTTGAAACCTGTGTGTGCAATCTAGAAACAAGGCTTCCTTGAAATACATGCAAGGTCTTTTCTATTTTATTATTTTATTCAATAGCACCTTTAAATGGAACATCATAAACCAGGTAAAGAACTAGCCATTCTTTTCAACTAGAAAATCCCTGATTTCCACACCAGCTTTTCTCTTCTCTCTCTGTGCACCAAATAGAAGTAGTTTAAACACTGCATTAGGAAAGATCTAACTAGCCAGAAATAGAAACAGAATTGAAAAGCTAAGTGAATGAACATAAGATTTGAAAAAATCTTAATATTCTAGAAAAATTGCAAGCATGCCATAAGAAGTTAATTTTCTCTCTGCTTTAACATCAAGCAGCATTAAATATTCTGCTGTCTAGAACATCAGCCTTTAGCAATAGAACCTTTGTCTGAAAATACAGAGCAGTAATGGTCAGTCTAATGAACAGTCTATTAACCCTAAATAAAGGTCAACTGATTTACAAATTTTATCATAGAGAGAATTCTAGAGTGGAAATCGCTGTGGAAGATGAATATCTATGCTAAAGAGCAGCCGTTTTACAGGGCTATTACCTTGTCCAGGTCTTGGGGTTGCAGATGTTCCAGCAGATGGTAGTTCAGCCTCCTGCCAATTAATTATAAATAACATTATCTGAATGTTCAGCTCCATAGTACTTTCCATATTACATCAATAACAAGACTCTTACCTTTGCACTTGATTCTGGATCAAACCTTTCAAGGATTAATTTAGCAGTCTTGTATGTTTCCTTCTCCATTACTTCCTCAAGCTGGAAACAAAAGGTTCCACATATAAATACAGAATTCTTCAAAGTACTTCCCCCCATCATGGCCTCCCACTTACAAGCAACTTATCAATGTTACCAAAAGGTGAAGCTCAGTCCAATGAACCAGTAGCATGTCCAGATACCTGCGGGTTCGCTGTATTCAATGGAAATTAAATTTTGCTTTCAAAAATAGTTTCTAAATTCTAATGGACTACTTAACAGCTTTATTGCAAGGAAACACCAAATATTGCTAATTGTTTACATATAATGAGGAGAATAATTACAAGCACCAACTTCAATAATGGAATGTGCAAAAATCTATCAGCCATCATTATTGGAAGTTATTAGACATGACAGGCAAATGACAGGCAATTCCTTAGATTTATTTCCTCATAGCACTTAATGCTATTAATTTAAGGAAGGTCATTAGCCAAGTGCTTTACAGAATAAAGTCCCTGCGCCAATTAACTGCTGTCAGCATTGATTTTAGATTATTTATTAGCAGAAGCAATTAGCTTGCTGCAAATGCTGTGAAAACTCACTAACTAGAGAACAGCCGCGGAATTCGCTCAAATGACTTTAAAGGCTGGATCTCCATCTTTACAGCAATTCAAACTGCTTTTCAGAAAAAAGGGAACATGTTAAGAATTTAAATAAAAAAATTTACTGAGAACTATGCATACTTTAGGGAGTGTAATTAAAGCACTTCATTATTACAGCATTTTATTTACAATGCACTCAAGTGGCTTTATAGCTAATACATGGGCTTAATTAAAAAAGTAATCACTAGTAAAGTATCATTTTAGTGGTTAACAGCCAACATTAGAAAAAGCTTAACTTCAAAACTGAGATAGTTGAAGTTATGACAAATACCTAATACGTATAGAAATCATAATGTGTTTTACAGTATCTTAAGCAGACCTTTTCTCCTAGATATGCTGACTAATGGCCATGTTCAGCTAAAAGTGGGGAGTTTGTTTGTTCTAAAGTTTGCTGTTGGCATGAACTGCAAAACTGAAAAGGTCAGTGGTCAAAAAATTAAATTCTCTCAAACTCATTTATCACTGCTAAAATAACAAATGGTGCAGGTTAACATGACTTTTATGCCATTATTTAGCTAGTGAGAAACTAAAGTTTCAGCCAATCTGCATTTACAGACTGTGCAGGGGTTTTACATTTAGACAGACCTCGGAAGCAAAATAATTTAATGGATATTGTGTATCCATCTAACACTCACTCCATCTAACACTTCTTGAAGTTTAAGGCAAGGAATACAGGCTGTTAATTAAGGACTGTTGAAACAAAAAGGGAGTGAAAAAGGAAGTAAAAATCAATTTCCTAAACTCGTATTTCAGCAGGACTTTGGAGTTAACCCACTAACTTTGTAAAACAAATGCCACACAGCATAATAAGATCAGAATTAATGGTCTAATAGGAAAAATAAAGTATTTATTGCTTATAAAAGTAAAAACCATAAGGCAGACTTTTATATAAAGGGGTAAGGTTAGTGAGGCGAAGCTGCAAAGCAGGGAAGTGTTAACAGTCAGTGTCAATAGCTGGCCCCCCAAATCAAAATTTAAAATAAACGAGTTCACTTTACATCAATGAACACAAAATGCACACAAAGGAAAATGATAAATAACATTCTGCAGGGCAAAGCAACCTTTAGGAAGAGAAAAACCAGAATGCTCCACCATCACTTAACATTTTCCTTATCTATGGCACTTCTTGCTATAGCAGTACTAGATAGTATGGTAGCTATTTGTGGATATTTAAGTTTTGCAAAAACAGTGCCATTACTTTGAAACAGAAAAATTCGACTCTCAAGATTCAGATGTCAAAGTTATTCTTCACGTTATATAGTTATTGGATAATTCAACAAGTTAGTCTTCATATTTTGAAATTCATATACAGCTTTATAATTCTAGTAAAGCTGAATCTGAACAAGAATTCAGTATCACAACTGACTCTAGAAATTTTTTGAAAATGTTTAGAAATTGTCAGGATTTCTATAAGTACGTTCACAATTCTCATGCTTTCACTTCTAGGATAGACTTCTCTGGAGTAAATTGAAATTTGGCTGACACTACCAAATTAAGAATCAAAAAGGTCGAAGTTTACTCACTGTGAGCAAATTAGTGTAATTACTAGAAGCAAATAAGTGCCTATGTAAAATTTAAATACTAGGTCTATGTTTCCATAGAGAAGAAACTGGCTCGTGTTCTGCCACAGCAAGGTCATTTATGAATGCAAATCTACATATTGACTTCTGGAGCACCCACCATCCTGAAGCATAATCCTGGAAAGGTTAACCTAGTGCTGAGCACTGGCTTACTAACACAAACTGCTCAACACCTCTTACTCTTTTTCCATAATACACTCTTCTCTGAGATCCAAAACTTTTCCCACAAAAACATTTTCTATTTTCTGCCAAGGGCTAATTCATATTCTATCATTATCAAGCATAAACGCTGAGCAACTAGAATCACAAGTGAAGTCTCTATGAAAGTTAATACCAGTCTAAGCATGTATTTTTCATGGAATTAACTTATTTCATGGAATTAACCAAACCTTAATAAAGAAGCATGGTCATGTACCACATTCTCTCCTATGAATAATTGCAAGGATCGCCTCCTTTTCAACTGGCAACCAAATAAAAATTCTGGTGGGAACGAAATCTGATGCCTATATTGAAAAGCAATATGAGTATTGTATTTTAAGCTTCTTGTAAAAGCAATTTAGCAACTGAAGTCTTAAGTACTGGCACAATGCAAACTACTTATTTGCCATACTACTATGTGAGTTCATAAATTGAATTACTTGCTATGTTGAACCCAACTATGAAGAGGTATTTCTTTATGTTTGTACAAAGCCATGAGACTCATTTGAGTCTACCGTGTAAGATACGGCAGTACACATAGCAAAAGTTTCCTTAAAATAGGAAATAAATCATTTAAGTGACAGTAATCAAGTATACTCTGAACAGATCCATACAAACAGTAAAACCACCAAAGTAACTGCTTTGAGTGAACACTGCATAAAAGAACTCACTCATTTGACCCTTCATCAGTAAATACAATTTTTAACTGTTATTTTGAGCTTCCAGCTGCATGCTTGCAGTATTCTAACACATACTAGTAACATGTTCTTGACAAAACTGGACTTCTATACAATAACCAACTCCTAGTAAAGTTTTTGTCACATACTAAAGGTTATCAAAATATTAATAGTTTTCTCTGCCTAGAAGGCTGAAGGCATAAAGTAAATTAAACAGTAATTATTTTAAGTAACAGAATTCATATGCTGCTGGGTTTTTTTCCATTACTAACATAACTCCAAGACAGCATTGAACTCTGACTAGTTTGTTGGTTTTTTTGGTTGTTTTTTTTTTTTCTTAGAAGATTAAGAGATGCACCTTTCTAAACTCTTATATGGAATGTCTAAGTCTGTCAAAGTCTAATATTATATTCAGACTACTATTCAGAGTAGCTGAGCAAATTTCAGCAAGGTTTAATTCTAAAATTAGCAAGGTAATTACTACACTATCTTCACAGCTCTGTCCTCAGGCTAAGAATTATCCCATCTTTAAGACTGCTGTTCCAGGTAAACTCTCCATTAATTCCCAGTTGTATCAGCTTAATACATGTCCTGTACCCTTGTTTTAATATGCTTAACCCTCTGAACTTGCTCATCTATACATGTTCAGGCTTAAGGGCTGACATCCTCATTAAGTGAGAACTCTTAAGGCCAAAATTACAGCTAAACAGTCAAGAACACAACCACAGTATCCCCTATGATCAAGAAGGGGAAAAAAAAGTTGTATCTTGTAGTAGTGCATTAAGTACAGCTAATCAATTTAATCCCTACCCCCAGTTCATAATTCAAGATGCTTTAAAGTATTCACTAGGGAAAAAAGCAGCATAGAGAGTCAGTTCTGTGAGAAATAAGTATTGCACAAACTTTGAGTCGAAGTACAGGATAGACAATACTAGTGGTCATTTCCAGATGAAGTATATGTGTTTGTCAAGTATTTTACCCACACAAGTATCCATATGACTATATCCTCAAAGACAGAATAGCAACTGAACAGAAATCAATTGCTATTGAGCAGTCACTGCACAGCCACCAGGACATCACATCTAGCAGATGAGGAGCTTACACCATTTACAGGTAAGCCCTATAACAGGCTTATGTCCCTTCAGCCTACAAGTAATGTCTGTAGGGAAAATACAAACCACATGTTGGCAAAACTCAAGTACTGTAACATTTTTCAAAAGGACAATTGTCTTCAAGATAAGATTTCTCCAGCAATTAGGTAGCTGAGATGCAATAAAGTGAAAAAGCACAGCTGTTGAGGCAGGCTCACAGTGCCTAGACAACAATTTGCATTATGAATAAACAGGAAATACATAAATTACTTATCCTAGATACTTTGAGGATCACAATGTAAATATCTGAGTAACTAAATCTATTTGTAAACCCTGCAGCAAATCAGAATTGAACAGGGGAAAAAAAATCCTCTTCCTCCCCATTATTTTACTTGAAGATTTTTGTTTTCTTTTACTAAAAAGTAGGTGTTCCTACAGTTATTCATAGTCAAAGACAGCCCTAAGGAAATCAATCCAAAAGAAAACCAAGACTAAATCTGAGTATTATCAAAAATTTTACAGAATGCAATTTTATGAGTGTTTTCATCTAAAACACAAATTATATTGTCTCATTACTTGCATCCCCTTCCTGCTCATTTCAACATGTTCCATTTTATGTATAATTATAAAATTTTAATGGTCAACTGAATGTCTTAAGTTATGATGAAACTCCTAAGTCTCCTAAGTTCTGCGTAAAAAATACCAACATCACCCTGATTCAAAAGGTTAAATAAGTTCTCTGTTTCTGGCTCCTTGCTAGGAACCAGGCACACACAAGATCAGGAGACAGTCACCAATTTTTTAGTGCCCTCAGATTGAAAAAATATCTGAGTTATATGTTATTTGACTTCCCAGAACTCTGTTTTACTAATACTATTTAAAAGTTTATCTTTAATGATAAAAGCTTGAGTTGCATACATACTAGTGACAATTTATATTTTTCAGGTTTAAATTCTCCATAGTTACACTACAATTTCATTATTATTCATGAAGTATTTGTGCAGTTTTTAATTTTTAACTACTGTCTGGTCTTTTACATTATTTTATTTTGACTTCTTGCATATGCAAAATACATATTTACATCCTGTTTCAACAGTATCAATTCTCAAAGTAAAAAACTCTCCCTTTTCTAAACCAGGGTTTTCCTGACTAATCTTTTATTCAATGCCTTTACTCTGAAGTGCTTCTCACACACAAAAATTCAGCATCACTAGTTCTTCTAGAATAAATATGAAGATTTTTATGATTACAGAAAACCAAACTTAAACTGAAATGAAGACTTTACATTTAAGATTCCAAAACCTGTTTGCTCTCCACTGTGCTTTTCCTGTTCGAAGAACTTTCCCTTCAAAGTTACCAAATGGCTATGTTAATTGCAAACATTAACTAATTTCAGTTAAGCAGTTTTTCATAAAATAAAATTAACAACATAGTTGTCATGCTCATTTATTTCTTTCTCAAAAATGTAAGCCTGTCCAACCTCTTTTTATCACCACTCCAAACAAAGGACACATCCATTTAAATATTAGCAAACCCTCTTTAACAAAAGACAATGACAATTAGGTTACAGGTTATCTTTTTTACATATACATTTTAAAAGTGACAAAAAACAGAGCAGAAAATTGTGACATAATAAACTCCTTTTTGGTATCTTTGTTGTGGGTTTCCTGTTAATTTAGCTACCATGGCAAAATCCAGAAGGTATAAGGTAAACACTCTGGGCAACTCATTAACAATTAACCCTCATAATACAACTTTTGGCAGTTTTGGAGGGAGGAGGGGCTGTTTTGGTGGTGGCAGAGGGGGGAGGGAGGGAAGGGGCAGGGGGAAGTGTGTGGGTTTTGGTTGTTTGGGAAGGGGGGCTGTGTTTTGGTGGTGGTCGTTTTTAAGTTTTGCCTTACAAGGCAGGAGATGAAGCCAACAACATAAGTAAACAACAAACTTCCTTATGGAATGATTAAGCAGAGAGGAAACAGCTTTGCAATATTACAAACACTGCAAAGTGGGAAAGCTATCCAAGACCTGGAACCTTTTCCATCCTAAATTTGTCTTACTGAGATTAAGTGTTGGTTGAGTGGATGCAAATATCTGGAGAACACCAGTTTTAGTGGACCATAACAACCCAGCTTTTAAGTTTTACTTACTATTTTTTTCTTTTGAGATTTTAAATCTTCCAGTGCATCATCTAAAAGAAGGACAACATACATTAGTTTTCAAATATAAATAAAAGATTTCAGCACACTCTAAACACTGACTTTGCCCTGTAAGACCACGAAAAATTACGCACTGACCACTACCAATCCTAAACACCAGTAAACTTTGTATAAAACAACTATTTTATGTGAAAATAAATCACTTAAAATGCTGAAACTGCTTATAAATTATAGCCCACCGTTATTACTTTAGAGTTATAACTATTAAAAAATTTTATGTACCATTTCCTCATTAAGCAAACCAATTCTAGCCAGTGCCCTGCTCTGACCTACATTAAAACTGGTACAACAATGGACCAAATACACTTAATCTCATGAGTCAAACTACAGAAAAAAGCTTGAGGTCTAAGCATTAATATATCTGAGTATCAGATTTACTGGCTTCAGTATGTCACATAAGCCTCTTAATACATACTAGTTTCAAATGCCAGGTCAACTCTGAGCTTTAGAACTCAATGTATTTCATCCTTTCTATACTTTCAGACTACAGCAAACTCCCCAGTTTTCTAAGAACAGCTACTAGAAGGTCATTTTACTACTAAATGCTAAGAGACTTACAACTAGTAGGCACAGCACACAACCTCTCTAAGAGGAAGGGAAAGAAGAAAAGTCAAGTGCACATGGGATTTTCTTGTAAGTCAATGTTTGCAGCTTGACAGTCATGGAAACCTCACTGTAACAAACCACCACCTAATGCAGAAGATGCTCTTTCAATAAAATAGCTTTCTACTACATCCTTCACAGCAAGAAGAGTTTAACAATAAACTTTACAACTTTCCCCCCCCTTCTCAGCTCTACTGAACACTACCAACTTAATTCCTGTAAAAATATAGCTATTTTTACTCATTTTTTCAGATTTCAAAGAAAGAAAAGGCTTCACAAAACTCCAAGACACAAAACTAAACCCCACCAAACTAAAAATAATTTTTTTGCATCTTTCTTTATATATAAGTAAGTATGGCATACCACTCAAAGTTACTTCAGGAACACCATTACTTGAAAGTAAGGGAACAATTACTTGAGCTTTCCAGAATGTAGAAACTCATTTTGATAGAATAAACCTCTTTATTAAATGTGAAAAATACTAAAACTGGGCATGCACATATTTGAAAGTTTATGCCATAAAAGGGGAATTACAACAACCTGTATTAGTTAAGATAAATAGGACATGGAACAAGACCATATTTAGTACTGGGGTGGACCACAGAAGATGGGCAATTCCAGAAAGTGTGCATCTTCAAATTAGTAAGGTACCTTCCTTCATCAAATTTTACATTTATATTAGAACACAGTCTTTCATGTAGCCCCACACGGACTAAGAGCTTGAAATGTACTGCAGTGCAGTGTGGTATCATGCAGCCAAGCAAGCAGCAGATACAGCCAATCGTCAACCGCTACTTAAGAAACTGAAACCACTTTTAGTACCCAAGTGCCTCAAACACCTTCAGCCGTGGCTCTCCACAAAGCTATGCAACCAGCTTAAAGTGGGGGTGTTTGTTTCTGATCACTCTACTTCCTGTATTCAACAAGAACCTCGTGAAACACCTGCCCCTTCAAATGTGGCCAAATGGCAATTACTGCAAAGTACTCTCAAGAAACCAATATATCTCATCTTAATTAAACCCACAGAATAAAAGAAATTCATATTAGAGAAGTCAATACCTGCAATATACTTCATTTATTTTCCCCACACTTTGGGACAGATCAGTCTAAATCTCCCTTAACAGTTGTTTTCCTGACCTGTCTTAAAAACTGAAATTCCATAATCTCTCTACATCACCTTTCCTAGAGTCTAGCTACGAATTTTCCTCATTCAGAACATGGTTCCTAAATCTGATGTATGCTGCTTATCCAGCACAGAGCTTTACAGTATTAAATAACCATCTCCAGTGACTCAATGTGTTATATTAACTCATCCCAGAATAAAAGGTTAGCTTTGAGCCACTTAGTTGCCAATTTGCTCACTCAGCTACACCCCTTCTCCCACTGTACTGCTGTTAACTCTTGTACCATACGTTTCATTTTTCTTTTTCAAATACAAAACTTTTATCTTTGAGGTAAAACACTTCATTTTTATCCAATCTCTGGAAACACACAGATATAATAATCCCTTTAGGCATGTTCTATCATCTACTAAAAACCTTTATACACAGGTTCAACAAAAGCACCAGACTTGCTTGTATGTTCAAAACAGCAATAAAGACATTTAAGCAAACGAGAAAAACATATATATTTTTTTTCTAATTCAGCCATGAAATGCAAATATATATTCACCTTAGAAATGAATCACACAGCACCACAGAATAGATGGACAATTTTATTTCTACATAAAAAGGTATGTTCAGTGCTTGCATATCAAAACACAAACATTAAGTTTAAGAAAAATTCCAAAAGTGATGTTTAACTCGTAAGCTGTCACAAATTAAATACATCATGCTGTTCTGCAAGTCATAAAACACAGTGCAACACTGAGGTTTTCCTGTATTATTGCTCACATCACCATGAGATATTGTTACAGGCTGGACTGCTTTCAAGGAAAGTCTCAAATGAATTCTAACTACTGCAGACAAGTGCCACAGATGTTGTTTTTAAATAGCATGCAGATTTATTCTAATGCAAAATTTAACAACTTTTTATATATATTTGAACACCTGCATTACTTTTTGGTTTTGTTATATGACTTCCAATTTTCCTTAGCTCTCAAAAAAAGCAGAAACACACCTGCTTATACCTTTCCCACTCAGGGAAAAAAGCATGCTTTGGAGAACTTGTGAGAGAAAAGCTATCTTGAAAAATAAATTAAAACACCTCCTATAAATCTCTTCTCTTACACATAACAGATTAAGACTGCTGGGATACTTGCAGATGCACGTATCAAGGGAACTACTACTATTGTTTATATTTCCTTTCCCCTCGCTCCCACTTTTACACTATCTTTTATTCCATTACACTTTGACACATGCAAAGACTGGAGAAAGTTACCACAATTTTATAAGTGAAGTGAAAAATCAAGCAGTTTCCTTCCTGTTCTTTCATGAACCATGTGGTAGAAACAAGTTCAGTTAATAGTACCCATTTCAGTACCAACTAAAAGACTACCTTTGTGTTCCTGGAAGCCAAATGATCAAAACCATTAGCAAGCATCATTCTTATCTAGCTCCATATTGTTAAAAATAAAAAAATACTTACTATTCCTTTCTGTCCGTTTGGAAAAGAAGAAAATGAGCAGTGTTCTTATAAACCAGATTCTTTAAAACAGAAAGAAGAATTACATTAACTAAAATAAATTACAGTAAGTATTACTGAAGTCATTTAGCAAACAGATGAGATTTTATTTTGCAAATACGAAGAACAGAAATCTTCAAACAATATTTATATAAAAAGCTAAAAATTAAATTAGCATCTTGTCAAGACATCAACATTGCTCTAAATAAAATGCTCTTTTCCATTAAAATTTAACCAAGTATTACTAAAGGTAGAAATACTAAGGCAGCAGTTGCAAGTAACATCATCACTTATTAAAATGTTCAGCTGAAAATTACACAGTCATCACTTCTTATTTGATAGATTTATTATTCATGTTATCCAGAAAACCAAGCTTATAAGCTAAGGCCCAAAATTACTACCTGGGAGATCTGCAGGAAGAATTCAATACCAATGAAAACCATGAGATACAGCTATTGTACAAATACTCTCCAAGCAGAGTTAACTGACCTGAGTCCTGGTGATTTTACAGAGCTCTGAATCCACTCAGTTTCTGTAGGGTTTCAGCTGACTTAGCTCAAACAACAGAGTAGTTTATCTCAAGATAAAGTCAAACTGATCTATGACCATGTTATAGAGGTCTCTCTGCAATCATCATGACTTCATCTGCTTTAAAGCTTAGAATTGCTTATAATTAGCTTGACACTTTTCCTGGTAAGTTATTCAGCCTAAGCCAAGCAGCAAACCTCATACTTCAAGCCACTCCAAGGATCTTATCCAAAACCCTCCTAATGTCAAGCATTAAATAACAGAGCCTGAATTAGCAATGTTCTGTTTAAGAAAAAAAAAATCTTTGGCGTTTATATAATGGTTCCCCAGTTCAAAATGCCTTCAAGTACTAACACAACCTGAGTTAGGTATGTTAGATGAGGCAACTGGAATGTGAGAGTAACCTATCCAATGTAAGAGAAACAGAGAAAGAAGTTTAACTCTTCCAGGTTCAAAGATATGCTATAGTAACTGCTCTGAGAATACAGATGGGTTTGTCTGCTTACATATTGCAAAATGTGTCTTCATAAAGTATCAGAAGAAATAAATGTTTACAGGGTTTGAATTGCCTTAAATACCATGTTATATAAGAAAAAAGCGTTATTTCTTTTTTAATGTATGTTAAAGAGTCTTCTACCAAAAGCTGTATTGTAAGTTAATAGATATGGCAGGACTTCATGAAATAAAAAAACATTTCCTCTTTAAGAACTTTGAGGTGAAAGTTTAATAGCAGACCATTTCAGACCAATTTTACAAAACAAAACCATATTTCTCTGAAAAACAGAATACGCAAGATTAAACAATTCAAATAAAAATCAGTTCAAGAAGAGCATCCCTCTAACATGCTAACCTATTTATATTTCTTCAACTTTTCAGATATTTCAACATACATTTAAAATTAACCAAGTTATATTCCTAAAACTTAACTTTCTCTACCAGCATCAGGAACTTGCTCAGACCCTGAGGGACTGACCTAAGGCAGAAATAAGTTGGTGACTGACTGCAAGCTGGAAAAGGCAGACATATTCCAGTTTGATTAGGGCTGAAAAATCTCTAGAGCTATTACTGTGTGGCACCAGGCATTCAGCATGGAGTCACCTCTTGACCGAGCACAAAGACAAGCTGGCAGCTGCTTGCCATTCATATCTGCCAAAAAAAGCTGAAGGGGAATAGCTTAAGAAAAAAAAAAATCTGATAAACAGTTGTAAGTCATAGAGAGCAACAGTCTAATTCTAAATGTTAGTAAGCCAATACCCAAGTTGGAATTTTACAGAGAGTCATACTGAAAAAAAGCAGAATTGGAAGAAAAACTAGACAATAAAAATCCAATGTGAAAATTCACAGCACTAGAAGTCATCTCACCTTCAATAACAAAAGTTTTCATTTCTACACTAATCCTAACACATCTA